ACTACTTCTGATAATGTTAATAAATTACAAGTCTATCAAAAAATCATGATCAGTTTTTGAATTTTCGCTGTTTCTAAGTTCGCCCAAGAGGTGGCTGCACCGGCGGCCCACCTCATTCGTAGAGTACGTGTTGAATCCAGCGTGTATCCGACGACGACGACGATTCGAGCGTGTGCAGCCTGTCCACGCTGCTGCAGCAGAAGAGAGTGAGGATCCGCTGCAGATCATTCTGCCTCCACGCGTTGCCGCTGCCGGTCACACGTGGAATCGACTTCACCTTCACCACCACTTGAACTTTTACTTCCATTTTTGAACTTTTGGATTCTTTGATCCCCTTCTCTTTCTATTTCTAGTCCAGGATCCAAACCACCGCAGCCACCACAATGGCGACGGCCAAGTACAACTTCAAGAGCATCACCGTGGTGCCGACGTACAAGGAGTTCGTGGACATTATCCTCTCGAAGACGCAGCGGAAGACGCCCACTGAGGTGCACAAGCACTACAAGATCAGCCGCATTCGCAGCTTCTACATGCGCAAGGTGAAGTTCACGCAGCAGAACTTTCACGACAAGCTTGAGGGCATCATCACCGAGTTCCCCAAGATTGAGGTAAGCGTTTATCGTTCTACTTTTGCACCTGTTGACTACTGGATACTAATTTTCCGCCATTTTCTTTCTTTCCCTCAGGAAATCCATCCCTTCTTCGCCGACCTGATGAACGTGCTCTACGACAAAGACCACTACAAGCTCGCGCTGGGCCAGCTGAACACCTGCAAGCACCTGATCGACAAGTAAGTCGGCCATTTTGTTTTATTTCGAATAATGTTCAGTTTACGCATAATATCTTTATGCCTGTGTATCCTCCAATCGCTTACACTGGCATGACAAACTTGTGCAAGAGAAAGCCTGAAGTAAAGAAATTAAGCCTCGAGATGTTGCTCGAAAGTGATTTCGACTAATCAACGCGAGGTTCAGTCACTTGACTAACATTTTCTGTTTCTATTTCTCCCTTGTTAGTGTGGCTCGCGACTACGTCCGCCTGCTGAAGTACGCCGACTCGCTGTACCGCTGCAAAATGCTCAAGCGGGCCGCCCTCGGCCGCATGGTCACCGTCATGAAGCGGCAGGCGGAGAACCTGCAGTACCTGGAGCAGGTCCGCCAGCACCTCTCCCGCCTGCCCTCCATCGACCCAAACATGCGCACCCTGCTCGTTTGCGGCTTCCCCAACGTCGGCAAGTCCTCCTTCATGAATGCCATCACGAGGGCGGACGTCGAGGTGCAGCCGTACGCCTTCACCACCAAGTCGCTGTACGTCGGCCACACCGACTACCGCTACCTCCGCTGGCAGGTCATCGACACGCCCGGTATCCTCGACCACGCCCTGGAGGAGCGCAACACCATCGAGATGCAGTCCATCACGGCGCTGGCGCACATCCGCTCCACCATCGTCTACCTGATGGACGTCAGCCAGCAGTGCGGCTACTCGGTGGAGGACCAGTTCAGCCTGTACCGGCACATTAGGCCGCTCTTCGCCAACAAGCCCATCGTCGTGGTGGTCAACAAGACCGATGTGAAGCGCGTGGCGGACCTGCCGCCGGAGCAGCAGGCGCTCTTTGAGGCGCTGAAGGCGGAGGAGGGCGTCACCCTCCACGAGATGTCCACCGCCCTCTCTGAGGGGGTGATTGAGCTGCGCAATGAGGCCTGTGACCTGCTGCTGGCGCAGAGGGTGGAGTACAAGAGCAAGTCGAAGCGGTCGGAGGAGATCACCAGCAGGCTGCACATTGCCCTGCCGCAGCCCCGGGATGATAAGGTCAGTGAATACTTTGATGATTGAATGTTTGGGTTTTCAATTTGTACCAAAAAAATGATGAAAACAGATCCAACTCTGAAGAGGGGGCTCTCTCATCGAGAGAGCTCTTATCAAAGTAGAAACTTGCGAGCTGACCTTTAGAACCTTTACCCCATCGTTCTTGACGGTTTTCCAGTTCTATTTTGCTAATTTTGTATTTTTTGTTATCTTCCTTTCAGGAACGACCGCCCTGCATCCCCGAGGCCGTCCTCCGCCGGAAGCTGGCCATGGAGGTGCCCGAGCACTCGGAGGCCTTTGACCACCGCGTCAAGTACAGCGGCAAGCGGAAGCTGGAGAAGGACATTGAGGAGGAGCTCGGCGACGACTACGTCCTCGACCTGAAGAAGAACTTTGACCTGGCCAACCCTGAGGAGAAGTACGACGTCGTGCCGGAGCTGTGGAACGGCCGCAACATTGCCGACTTTATCGACCCGGCGATCGAGGAGAAGCTGGCGGCCCTGGAGCGCGAGGAGGAGGAGCGCATCAACTCGGGATACTACGACTTTGACCTGGGCAGCGACGATGAGGACCTGGAGGAGGTGCGCAGCCTGGCGAAGGCAATTCGCGAGAAGAAGGGCATCCTCAAGTTTGAGCAGCGGATGAAGCAGACGAACAAGCCGAAGATGCCCAGGGTGGTCGTCAAAAAGGTACGTCTCTTTCTTTGTTTACTCTTTAGGTGTGTTACTAGCACTGTGGCTAACCAAATGATGAAATCAACTTACCTTACCAAACCACTACTGACGTGACCATGATCATATTCAGTTCTGCTCCTGAGACCTTAGCCGTAGAACTTCTTTTTTAGGCTATAGAGTTTTTCCCCGGTTCTAATTTCTATTTGTTTTCCATTTCTTTCACCTTTGCAGAGAGAACGCAGCCTGGGCCGTCTGCGCAGCGAGCAGCGCGACCTGGGCGTGGACATTGACAGCGACGAGGAGGGCAACCACTGGGACGAGTCGCTGGACCAGGGCGTGCAGCATCCGCCCCTGAAGAAGATGAGGACTGATGAGGAGGGCCGCGTCCGCTCCAGCTCGACGATGCCGCGAAACCGCCTGGGAGTGAAGAATGAGAAGGTATGTGTTTGCATTCCTCTTTAGTCTTTAGCTTTTCTTGATTTGACTTTTCTGATGAATTTTCAATTACCTTGGAGAAATGAATCACACCGTGATTATTTATAGCTTTTTAACCATCTGAGACTTAGTGTTAGGATTTAGGATTCTCTATCTTTTGTTGGAGCTTTTAACTAACATCTTTTCCTCTGTTTTCCTCTTTTCCCCCTATAGATGCGCGCCAAGGTGGTGAAGCTGGGGAAGAAGACGCAGGAGAACAAGTTCAACAAGAACGCGAAGAAGGGCGAATCCGACCGGCACATTCCCACCTCGAAGCCGAAGCACCTGCTCGCCGGCAAGCGAGGCATGGGCAAGACGAGAAGTCGGTAGAGAAAGGGCCGAAGACCTCTCTCTTTTTCTTCTCTATTTCTTGTTTTACCAATTACGAAGCCTGTAAATATTCTCGGTGAGTAGCTGTGATTTCGGTTTTTATTGTTGTAGAAACTTGGGTGTGTGAAATGATGTGTTCCAAATGCTAGGGACGTAATGCATAGTCTCCTCGGATTTTGATGAAAAAGAGCATTGCTGATCACACACACACACACACATCTTTCTCATCATTTTGAGATTTTTTTCCATCTTCAGCTCTAATATGAACGCCTTATCCCACCAGGTGTACATATTGTTTTTGTTATCGCTTTAGAATAATTTCTGTATTTATGGTAAGTGTTTTGATTGGGATTTGTAGCAATGCCATGTTTGACCAACCATTTTCATTTCAGGTTTTAACACCCCCGGTGTCAGCTTTTAAAAAAGGCCGACAAATAAAGACCTGTCCTTTTTATTTTGTCTCAAACTTGGTGGCGTGTGTTTTCTCTTTTTGAACAATTCTTTTCCAGACCAAAGTCTCTCTCCTCTCCATAGATAACTGGTAAGTTTTCCTTTCTTTATTTCTTTTCTGTTATTAGTTTCACCTGATGAGAAGTTACCAATTCGTAGTTTGGGCACAGCCCATTCTGTGATCAAGTTTTATTGGCTTTTGCACCACTCTGACGCACTTTAGAAATTCTCGACAACATTTCTTTCTTCTTTTTACATTGTTTCTAATGTTACTCTTCTTTCTCTTTTTGCAGGATTCCATCACTTTGGATCGGCAACTGAGTTACATTGAGTGAGGTGAAAAGGTGAGTGTCCTTTTATCTATTTTTATGAGCACTANTCTGTGATCAAGTTTTATTGGCTTTTGCACCACTCTGACGCACTTTAGAAATTCTCGACAACATTTCTTTCTTCTTTTTACATTGTTTCTAATGTTACTCTTCTTTCTCTTTTTGCAGGATTCCATCACTTTGGATCGGCAACTGAGTTACATTGAGTGAGGTGAAAAGGTGAGTGTCCTTTTATCTATTTTTATGAGCACTACGGCATATCATTGGCACATATGGATTGCACTTTGTACAAAAAGTACCTTCTTTCTGGCAATGCCATTAGACTAGATAGGCCAATACTACTTATCAGATGCACTCTCTGTAAACTACAATATCACTTCATTGGTTTATGGTTTTTTCAGTTTGATACATTTCTCTCTTTTCTACAGTTTGCAGATTCGATTTTGGGGGCGACGATCTTCTCGGATGGGGTTCGGATAAATCGGGCAATCCAAGGTAAGCAAATCGTTTTTGATGATTTCTCAGACTTCTCTGTTAGTCACAGACTTTGTCAGTGATGAGTAACAACCTTTGGTCCGTGTTTATGACACCTTATGATCACAACTAACGAAGGTTACTGATTCTACAAATTACCCACTAGCTTACCGGCTTTTCTGTCTATATTGTTCCAACTTGAGTTCTTTTGTTTGTTTGCAGAATCCTCTTTTCTCTTTGGTTCGTGGGACATCTTGGTCGGATCTTTTGTTTGAGGTGAGTTGTTGTGTTCTAAATGAGCGGAACATTTCGGTGTCTTTAGATGATGATTATTGTACTACTAGCTTTACCGGATTCTGTAATGCCCTTGATGTGAAAATACAACGTTTCTGACACTTTCTCAGTTTTCCACCACTTAGCAAACATTGTAACTTTCTGACTTGAAACTAATTCAACGAATTCTTTTCTTCTTTCTTCAGAATTTGCTCGGCTCTTCAGAGCAACCTTGCTCTTCTTCTCCCTCTTCCATCTAAGGTAAGTGTGTTGATAATCAAAACAAAACTATAAAGTGTCACGCAGAAACGCCTGCGCTTTGTGCTGCTTTTATTATTCTCTAAGCACCAAGCTCATTGAGGAAACAAACTTTAACTTCTGCCAAAGCATTCCATTGGTTGTTTGAATCGGTGCTGGTGCTCTTCCAGAGCGGAATCCAGTCTTGGTATAGAAACCTAATGACATTTTCTCTTTACCACTTTTACAGGCCCCCCCCTTTGAAGCACATTCCGCTGCTGCTGCTGCTGCTTTGGTTTACCTACTGGCGTGTCTTATCTGTGTTGGTGTTTAGGGTTCAGTTATTTAGTTCACAATTAGATTTAGTGTTCTGCTGTGTCACCTGTGTCTCTCTCGTGTCACCGCCTGTGAACACATAACTGAGCCCTTGAACCCCAACAGTGAGCTGTCTTTTTCATTGCCCTGTCTGGCTGTGGTGGTTTCCTTTTCTGAAAGAGGTGAGTTTGGGCTTTATTTGGTGGTGGTGATTTTTGGGAAGAGGAGTGAAATGGCTGCTGCTGCAAGTGAAATGATGAAATCAACTTACCTTACCAAACCACTACTGACTTGACCGTGATCATATTCAGTTCTGCTCCTGAGACACTTGCTCCTCCTCCTCACTTTCACAATCCAAAACCACCAACTTTTNTCTTTTCTGAAAGAGGTGAGTTTGGGTTTTATTTGGTGATGGTTTTTTGAGGCGAGGAACTGTCTGCTGCAAGTGAAATGATGAAATCAACTTACCTTACCAAACCACTACTGACTTGACCGTGATCATATTCAGTTCTGCTCCTGAGACACTTGCTCCTCCTCCTCACTTTCACAATCCAAAACCACCAACTTTTGCATGTGTTTGGGGATCATGGTTTCTAACTCTGGGTATTCTCTCTCTACAGGTCAGAAACGAAGAGGAAAAAGAAGATACTTTGGCTCCCTTTTTCAGGTACGTGATGGTTCACTTTTTTGAGGACTTTACCTCTGCAGGTTCATCCAGTGCACGGCCAACTCTCACTCAGTTCTGGTGTGGCAGTGTATTAAAATGTTCTGCAAAAGTATTGCCCATTGGCTCTTGATATACAATTGCCCCTCAAACTGAGAAACACCGGTGGTTCTTGTATGGCAGTAAGCTAACGACAGATTTTCTTCTCTTTTTCACAGGTTCACCTTTGGAGTTGTACGACNTTGATATACAATTGCCCCTCAAACTGAGAAACACCGGTGGTTCTTGTATGGCAGTAAGCTAACGACAGATTTTCTTCTCTTTTTCACAGGTTCACCTTTGGAGTTGTACGACTTTTGTTTTTTTGTTTGTTTTTGTATTCAGTTATTTCAATAAAGTTGATTTTTGTTTGCAAATTAAATCTGTGTGTTTCATTTGAAATTGTATCACTATAGAGTAGTTGTTGGTTTTTGGTCAGAAAAAAAGAGGGACTTTTATTGTACAACTGAAAATCTATACAAAAAGGTTGGAGACATGTTGAAGATATTTTGAAGACGCTCCTCTACATTGACGCCGGCACGGAGGTGTCAAAGTCCATCAGCTCACGAGCGACGAAGATTCCACCAGCGAAGAAGGCCCAGCTTTTGACGAGGTTCCTGTGGAAGGATTGAACAAAACAAAAGGTTATGTTATTGAGGAACTCAAAAGTGTGCTTTGTGTGCTGCTTGTTTGCGGAACTCACCACATGAACGGATCATTGTAGACGTTCTTCAGGAAGGCGACGGCGCCGTCTTTGTTGTTTGGGGCCATTGCTGTGTGATTTGGTGATTCGGTAAACTTGGACCGGAAAACTCGGGAGAGATTTAGAAACGCGAAAATCAAACAAGACTTGAGAGCTCCGAGGAAAACATGTGATCAGCACCGTTTCCACCGGCGCTGACCGCACTTTGCCAGTTTGCACTCTGCGAAATAGCCGCCGCCTAGAGGGGGCGGTGTTTGTTTTGATTTCGCCTCTGTGCAGGCAAGTGATTTGTGTGCGGCAGCAGCAGCAGCAGAGTTCGCTCGTCATCAGTTCGGTTCGATTTGGTTCAGCTGATTTGTTTCCTTATCAGATCAGATAAAAAGTTCCTGATCATCTTTACCTCCTCTTAAGATAGAAGCCGCCAAGAATAACATCGGAGGAGGAGGAGGTAGAAGAAAAAGAAAAATACGTGGGCAGCAGCAAAAAGTGATGACGAAACGATCGTAACTGTTACTCTGGCGCTCACCTTCTCTCTCTTTCTCCTGTGTCTTACCTGGCGGCAGTGAAACACTTTCTCTCTCTGCCACAGATTTCACCATCCTCAGTTTCCGTCGTCGTCGACGAGGATCACCTCATTCCACCCCAGCCGAGACACAGTGTAAACAACAGCAACACCAGCAGCCTTCCACGTTGGCCCCCTCCTCAACTTTCCTTTCCCTCAGCACTCAGCAGCTGTCAGATGGGCAAACAAAATTTGGAGGCGA